ACTGGCGGGTTTGGGAGACCTTCGTCCACGCATGCTGACGACCCTTACACAGCGTGCTCCCGTAGCTACAGGTTTGGAGACAGCCGAACGTACGATTGTGATGACACGGCCGCTTGGTGGTTGCCGCTTCTTAGCGGAACGAGAATATTCCGTTCCGCTAGGAAGTCATATTCCAGGTTGAGATGTTTTATTATTTTTTCGTCCCGCGTACCACATACGGAACCCACGTGATTGCATGAGAAACCAACCGAACCCAGAAAGGGTCACATTCGAAGTGGAGCTATTATTGGGGAGTTTTAGGAGATCGTTCCTTTACCTTCGATAACGGTACACGATAGCAGGGAGTTTCAGTAGATCGCCCCGATGCCTCCGATAGCGATACGCGACCCTCCGCCGATGCCTTTGCGTATGAGTCGTAATCCTTACGGGCATCGTTAGCGGAGGTATCGAAACTATGTACCAACGTTAAAAAACGCCCCCACAAAAAAAAAAAAAAAAAAAAAAAAAAACGTTATTTTATACTTACAAATAAAATGATCGCGTTACACACCTACGTTACCTCAAAATAAAAATAACGCGTTACCATTACCGATAAAAAGTAACGCACGTTACTTTTGCATTACTTTTTATTTATGAATTAAAGCGTTTTTGCTGCGTTGGCGTTGCAGGTACGCATAAGCGTCGTATATGAAGAAACATGTCCATGCTGAAATTTAAGAGGATTAATTTATCTTTTTTTACGGCTTTGATTTTGAAGGTATGTGGGATGAGTGCAGGAATTCACATGACTTTGCTCTAGACAAATAAAAAAAAAAGTGTAATTTTTTAAGCCTTGGAACGAAGACGCAACGAGTAACTCAACTACGTTTTCCGTTACTTGACATAAGTAATGTAAGCATGTTATTTGGTACTGTATCAACTGTGTACGTTACTTCGTTACTGAAAAAAGTATCGCGTTACTTGTAGCGCTTTGCCGACAGCACTGCTATCTACTAAAGCTCTCTAACGATACAGTGTATGCGCAAAAGCGTCGGCGGAGTATCGGAGTTACCGGAACGAGCTACTAAAACTCTATGGGAGTTGTCGTCGTTTGCTTCCGCCATCCCCCAACTCTCTCGCCTCTGCTGCGCATGCGCGCCGCTAGCCTTGGCCGCAGAGCGTTGCGCCGGACGGCGGAAACTATCTACGAAAACTCCCCACTAAACTTTTTATGCGAAAAACTGTGCGTTCCGAATGTAGGTATAGAGCCCCTGAAACCAGGACCGGTCACATTCCAAATGGATGTACTAACCCTTTGCGTGTGTTTTACCTATAGTGTAATTCTGCGTGACTGATTGGGAAGCGAATCCCAACCATGCTTTTGCTTACCTGCAGTCTCCGGACTGTTATGTCTAGACTTCACTACCTCCTGCACGCCCTGACCCTGTTCAACTATACCACGTCTCACCACCGTGGTCTCACCTTAGCATGGACTAACTGCGAAGGCTGTGCAAGCGCGAGCGGCTAGCCTTGACTTTCTTGACTGGAGCACTCGCTCCACGAGCGTTAAATACGGTCTGTTTTCCCCACATCTGAAGCGTACAGCTAGAGGCGTGATTGCTCGATCTCCTTCCGAATAGCAGAAGCTATACAAGAGCGAGCTTCGGGCTTTTAGCGACCCTGCCAAGCATGCGCGCTCGTGCAGTGCAAGCATTGTTCAGGGCCAGATGCTCGCACTTGAAGCTTCGGCCTCGCTCGCACTTGGAAGTGAAACGAAGTATACACCTTTCCACAGTTTAGAGAAATCGCAATCCACACGCGCTACATCACAGTCCAGCCAGCGCTCGCCAGAAAGTGCGCGTGCGTAACACAAAACAGAGCAATGAACGCGCCCCCATACGCTTTAATGGAAAGGTGTATGAACGTTTCCAAAAAAGGGCTCCAGGCAGGCTCCATTTTCAGTGTTCGTGCGTGTGGCGCGTGATTTGCTCACTTTCCGAAGCGACGAACATTCAGGTGCTGCGCAGAGACGATCGTACGCTGGGCTGAGGGCTTGTAAATATTGGAATGGTGCATAGGCTATACTCGATGCTGTCGAAATGCGACCAAAAAGGGACCCATTTTTGCGTCTTTCTTCTCGCGTGTATCTATTTGCTTGTCTTCTCCGCCCCCACGTGACATTTAGCTGCGGCGCCCTCTGTCGCCTCTTCAAAACAACGCATATATATATAAAAAAGTACGACATTTGGCGACGAAATGTTAAACGAGCATGTTTAGAAATCGTGGGGAGCTGTCGGAGGATCGGAAAACGTTGACAAAAAGAGGAAAGAAGAGAAAGCTGTCTAGTTTTTCGAGACGCGGCGTGACAGGTTGGACCTTTTCGCGAGGGAGATGAGGTCTGGGAGAAGCGAATGCAGGGACGAATGGCGGCGGCGGATTGGGTTTCGTCTCTCTTCCTCTCTATCTCTCTCTCTTTCTGCGTGTATATATAAATATATTGCTTTCATTTTTGTGTGTCTCACGCACCCATGTGTCGTTTGATGAATTACTCCTTAGAGGTTTGTGTCTTTAATTTAATTCGGTCCGTTTATCGTCTGACGGGACGGGGGGTGAAAAGCGGTGTTAGTCCATGCGACCGAGATGTGTTATCTTTTCGGTTTTATACTATGTTGAGACTCTTGTGTAGACGTTTTCTGTTTCCTGTCGTTTTCAGTCACGTGGGTTCCGTATCTAATTTGCGGGACCAAAAAAAAAAAAAAATAAAACATTTAAATTAGGAATACGCGAGAAAATATAGGTTAAGCAAAAGAAAAAAAGTGTGTGGCAATCACGCATTTTTTTCGTAAGCACCTTTCAGCGGCGTGGAGAGATCAGAACGATGTTTTACCGCATACTAGTCTTGTGCGAATAGTGGATTTTAAGTTCGAAGCGAATAGGGGTTTGGGCCGAATATTTTCGATTCGAATATCGAATAGTTTTCCCACGCCTTTCACTACCATTAAGGTAGCAATTTGGGCCAGTTGATTCATGATCACATAAAAAAAAGCACGAAAAAAAAAAAAAACACAAGGACGAGGAAGTAGACAGAGCGCTCTTGTCTGTTCATTTACAAGCTAAGTTTAATCTATGCATATTTATGAACTGTGACCTCAGAAGGTCTGGTGTCCTGGGATGGCAAGTAAACGACGGATTTAACATAAAATGAATCCTATAAAAATGGCCAACTATACCCAATTCAAATGAATTTACAAATCTTGCTCTATAAAATGTTTTTTCTTTAATCTCGAGTTAGAAAAGAAGGAATTGCGCATGATCAACGCAGGTTGCAAGGGCATCTCTGCCTAACATAGTGTACTCTTGCATAACCGTTTAATTTTGAAACCTTTACTACAGGTATATATATAAAGATTCACAAAGTTTTCATTTATTTTAAAATACAGTCGTCACGGGTGCACCAGCCCGCTTTGAATGTATGCTTTTCTTCCAAGCACGCAATTATAATATTCCTACTTTTTCGAGCATTTATCGCGGCGGGTTACCCCGTTGAGTGCACTTCTTACCGAGCATCAACGTAATGCAGAGAAACAACATCCACGTAGCTCGCTTCCGGGGGTAGTGCTTCTCCGCAGCGCACCGGTGCTTGGTAAGAAGCGCACTCAACGGGGCTAACCAGCCGCAATCAACACTCCGAAAAACGCGAATAGTGCAGTTCTTCTCGAAGCGAATATCGAATAGTGTATTATTCGGAACTACTATTCGAAATTTCAAATATTTGCACAACCCTACCGCATACCAGAAGTGACGACATTCAGGATGGCTGCGCCCTTGTGGAAAAGGCGCTCTTTCCGAAATACAAACTTTAGTGAGAGGCACGCGAGGCGATAGTTTAATTGTCTGTTGTGTTGCTCTAAAAACTCAGGTCTGTGGACGGTGACAAGAGGTACATGCTCGCTGTAGCACGAGATCGGAAACTCACGTTTCCGTGTGACGCTCGCTTCGCTGTCTCGTCAGCCACGACTCGTGTCAAAAATACGCAGGCAGACGATGCGCTTTGAACACAATGGCTACGCGGACGGACGTCTCCACGGCCGCGGAAACCCGAAATATCCGCGAGACGGTTGTCTTGTAAGCTTCCTGGTTTGACGCCGCCACAAGGAGGAAATGACGGACTAGAGTTAAAAGTTTACGCCCGTTCAGTGCCGTCCTCTCGCATACGCCTTTTTCCGACAGCGTCTACGACGAAACGAATGCCGTATTTACCCGATTCTAACGCTCACCCAGTTTTTTATACCCAAGCATAATGTTTCTGATACGGCCCCGAACCTGCAATTTTTAAATAAAGTTTTAAAAACAAATAAATAGGTGCGCATTAGAATCGGGTAAATGCGACGTATGTGTAAGAGGGAAAATCGCTTTTGAAGCATGGTTTGGTGCACGCGCGCCTAAAGTGATATCGAGATAGCGAAAACTGCATATGAAGTGCTGGGGAGTTTTAACAGAGCGCGTTTTCCTGGAAGCGATAGCAAGGCATCATCGGGAGCTCGCGATACTATTTTGAGAGGAATTATTAAGCGTGTGGGAAAAGCTGGTCTGAAAGAAACGTTCGTACGCCCAATACGCCGCACCGGGGGCACGTAGTACGCGCTTTCAAAAAGCGTGTTTCGAAAAATGCCACTGCGAGTCCCCGATGCCGGTATCGTTTGATCGACCACAGTCTGTAAAACTCGTCATGGTGGCACTTTTATATCGGTCTACCCTTCGATTATACGGCTGCCTGGGTAGTAGACAGCCTTCGTTGACATTTGTTTCGGGAACGGAAAGAAATCTCGCGAGTAAATATTGGGCAGGAGGGCGCTTTATCGAGCTTGTGCCACAGCCCGGTGTTTCCTAACACAGCATGACAAAGGAATTGAAGTTCGCCTAGCACGGTCTGGGTAATAATAAACTACTGCTTTTATTTTTTTTTTCTTCTTCTTCTTGTGGCGTCGTTTAATTTTGGCGTTTTCCTTTCTGCCCGACAGGGAACTTCAGCACAACAACATCGCCCAAGTTCCGCCGGAGTCTCTTCTCAACTTGACGCAACTCAGACAACTGTGAGTTTGTCGGCTTTTGTTCCCTCTCTGACGACGCGAAAGGAAATAACAAAGAAAAAAAAATATTACATAGTACTTTAAGCTTTTTTTTTTTTTTCTTAATGCTTAATATTCGTTCGAAATTAGGAGTTAAATCATCTAAATTCCTTCGTTATCTTTTTTTTTTTTTTTTTTCTAAAGGCATTTTGCTTTTGCATTTAAATTGAACAGCATTGAAGCGGATCGCTCGGCTCATTCAAGAGCAGCGTGAATCCGAAATTTCGAGGAAAATACACAGTGACACTGATAGTACTACGAAATCTTCAAAAAAGATGTTCACACTGGAAACCAGGTCCACGTCGCATCGAACGTAGTGAAGTTGTTTGAAACGGCATTCGTAGTTTTCACACTCCCAGTAACGACAGAAGAAAAAAAAAAAAAAAACGTGAGTGTTAGCCGAACTGTGACGCAGCGTTCGTCTCCCCATCGATTGGACGCGAGTGCCAGCCGCGAGCTCGTGTACCGTTCGGCACAGCCGTGGCCGAAGTGCGTGCTGCGAGCGCGCTCGCTACCGTTCGAGACGACTGAATGAACGAGGAGGCTCTCGCGTAGGTGCCAACACGTCGCGAGCTGGTTTGACACGACCTCTTTTGTCGCGCTGTACGGCGCTACGTGCCGGCCTCGAAACGAGGCGTTGTCGCGTTCGAGAGCGGTTTTGGGAGCGCGCGTGTGACGTCGCCACGCCGAAAGGCCTTCGCGATAACCTTGGCGCGGCGAGCGTTCTGCCAACAGTCCCGCGTCGGTCGCCATACCGTCTGCGTCGTCCGCTCGGGGAAGGAGGGCGCGGAGGACGAGGTGGGGAAACACTCCACCTGGTCACGGGATCTCTCCCTGACGTCACGCGGAGTCGGCCGTGCGGGCGGGCGGGCGCGCGCCATCCAGCGCCTGCGGAGACAACTGCGCGATAGGTCGTCCGCTACCTGGGGGTTGCGCTCGGCACGCTGCGCTGTTAGAGGGAAGTTCGTTTCATCGTTGAATGCATTGGGTATGCACGTAGAGACGATGAGGCACTTTAACGTTTACCATTCACTCCACCGGACGCCCTTATTCTTCCGTACCAGAGGTCGATCACGTCCAGGCGACAGTGAAGAGGCTCGACCATCAGGTCCCTTCTTAGCGCCGGACAGGGCGTCATATTGTTAATAAAGTTTGACTGCGAGACATCTTTCTTAGAGGTCTAAGAAAGGGCCGGACATGTTTTGTTTTACTGCATGGAAGCGTTTCGCGACCTTCGTTGACATCACCTTGTTTTCGCTAACCAGTGCGGGGAACTTTCGATTCTGGCCCGAATTTGGTATTGGCTACGTACCAAATCGCGATGATGGAACAACGAGGAAAAATTATTTATTCCAAACGTTATAAAAAAAAAAAAAAAATGCACAGCACCGAACAGAAACATGCATCATGGGGGGCTATGTTGGACGAATGTTTCGTGTCTCCTAAAAAGAAAGGGAAGTGACGATATCGCGTCTGATTGGCTAGAGGCTGAAATGACGAAAGAGGAAACTTTCGTCATTTCAGCCTCTACCCAATCGGACGCGATATTGTCACTTCCGTCACTTCGTTTCTTTTTAGGAGAAACGAAGCATTTGTCGAACATAGCCAAGAACAAAACAAGAAGAAAGTTTTTTTGCTGGTCTCGTCTGATAAACTAATCAACGACTCGATCGACGGGGGATGCAAGCGGAACATTGACGACTACTCAATCGTTCAACCCCGCAGTTTAGAAATCGTAGAAAAACAACAACGGTAGTGTGGACCAACCACATCTCTCGAGTGTTTCCCAATCCATGGAAAAAAACAACAACAAAAAAACAAAACAAAGTTTATTTGATTTGTGGTTACGCTTTGGAGTAATAGACGGAGTCGGTGTTTCTAAACGGGCGCATTTTTGTGCGGGCAGTGCCTGTGGGCGGGAGGCCGCTTTTAGAAGAGCAAGGCATTCGCACATCCCGCATCAGCTCGTGACGTCACAAACGCGAGTTGGCGTACACCGTAACGTAATGCTGCTCAGTTGAGCAACGCCTGGTTTCCTGTACCGCCGTCTTTTTCCTCCGGCCGGCGACGTTTCCTCGTTTAGGCACGAGGGATCCGATCTATGTACGCCTACACGTCGGTTGCCGCGTGGTCCCGAATACGAGATGGCCGCTGCACGTAGGCCGGGGTGTCGATCTGGTCGATCCGAGACAGCGGGGCGACGTGCGCTGGTGAATCTGCCCGTCCGGTTTCTCGTTTGTTTGCGCCTCCTTCGGGCGGCCGCGGGGTCGCTGGCTCCTCTGTGCGCGCGTGTCGTCGAGGCAGGAAGGGTCGATCCGTCGGCTCCCTTTGGGGGTCCCTCGCGGAGAGGTTATCGTGCCCGCCGCTGCCGTACGCCCACGGATGTCGAGCGGTGTGGGTCGTCGAGGAAGTGTTCCCGTCGAGCGAGATTACTCTGCGAGACTTCGCCCACCTTCTTTCGGAGGCTAGAAAAAACGCCGTCTGTTTCGTTCTTTTTTTTTTTTTTTTTTAGTTTAGTTTTACGTGCTTGCGGAATAGGCGGTGTCGTTTCGTCTCTTCTCCCAAGTTGGCGTCTTCGACTGATGCGTTTAGCGTCTTATTCCGCCCATGCATCACAGCGTGGTCCCCACCACGAATGACGTCACAAAATCTCGAAGCGTCATATGTCGCGATATCCAGGCTGTTGGGCGTAGAAGTTGCGGCAAAAAGTACGAGCGAACGCGAGCATGGCCATCGTCAGGCGAGACTCCCGACACCTAGTTGTCGAAGCTTCCGCGGACCATCAAACTAGAGAGCGACCTGCAGCAAAACGGACATCTGCCAAACCTACCGCCGCAGCTGCTGTGTTACACCGCCAGGGTCGCGGCCGGCGACAGCGTGACACGTTGATGACGTCATGGGGCGAAAATCCAGGGAGCGCTTTTCCGGACGTGGCAACAGCCGGAGGCGCGTACCGCAGTTATGTCCACTTTTCCAGCGCGCATCCAGCGCGAAAAATGCACGTGCGGCCGTCCGATAATCCGTGACATGACGTCACGTCCCGGAGGCCTGCACGGGTGCTGATTGGATGCGACTGCCGCGTCAGCGTTCGCGTGAGACTGTGGTAGGGAACGAGTCTCTCGGCGAACGCTGACGCGGCACTCGCGTCCAATGAGCGCCCGTGCAGGCCTCCGGGACGTGACGTCATGTCACGTGACGCGCGGGCTTGAAAGCTGTCTAGGAGGCGCTGATTCGAACACGCCGTCGTAAACTTGCACGTGAGGGGTCAGAAGAAAACGGGTCGTGTGTTTCTGTTCCTCTTATTCGAAAACGTCTGCCCGTTTTTTTTTTCTTTTTCCTCTCCTTTCTCGCTGTATATAATTTATTTTGACTCGTAGGGCTGTCGTGGCCTGTCACGCACCGCCCGTGTGCTGCGTGTGGGCGGTGGCGGGAGCTTTGCCTCGCCTCAATTCTGCGGTACGCGTAGCTGCGGCCTGCTGCCCGGCCAGTTGTACTTTCGTGACACGTGAACGCCTATCGCATCGTGCATGTACACCGCAAACATCCTCCACCCCTTCCACACGCACGCACGCCGTTCGCCCGCTTGCGTTCGTGAGGAAAGATGGTTGGTGCGGTGGGTGGATGGGCGTATAAGAAGTCGACAGTCTTACATCTCGAACAAAACTCTTTGTTGTCTGTGGGTAGACTGCTCGCGGGGGCTCAGTTGTGTGGCACGTCCCGCTCTTATCAGAAAACGCTACAGGATATACCCGAGAAACGAAGTTCGGAGAGCGTATAGAGACGAGGCAAATGAAACATTCCACAGTTGGTGGCAGCTAGTTATGACGAGTTCCTGGGGAGACTCTTCCCACCTCTCTCCACATTAGCGGAACGGACGGTGGAGAGGAGGCGACTTCCTTTCCAGCGTCCGCTCTGCTAGAGTGGAAAGAGGTGCGACTATAGCTTCCACTTCGTTGTTGACCTGTCAGTGAATGTAGTCCTTGATCAGGCAATCTCATTTCTCGTCTCCATGCGTTGGATCGAACGTTTCCGGCGTTCTTTGGACGCCATTTTCACGTATAAAGAAGAAACGTGACCGACTAAACTCGTCCTAACGAAAAAAAAAAAAAAAAGAAGAAAACGTTGTGTTTTTTGCAGAGCGTTGGTGATTTCTCCTTTATGTTGTGAATTGTGCATTTGGTATCAGTTATTTTTCTTTTTTCAAACCTATGATCAGAACAAGTGTTTAACGCGCAGAAAAACCAAACTTGCTTTTACGATCTACTTTTCGATGTTGTGACACGAGGAAAGGTTGACTTAGTTGACGAAATTTATTACTTCATGGAGCTGGTCGCTCTCTCTCTCTCTCTCTCTCGCGCGCGCACTTATCGATGCTCGTGGGAAACTCGGGGGCGGACCAAAGTTAGCACTCGTGCAGCAGGCGCAAAGCTAGCAGTGGCGGAACTATCGCCACTGCTAGCACCAATTAAAAAGGTAATTAACGAATTTTAATTAATTAGCCGACCTATTGCAAGCATTAGCCACCCACATAATGTCCCCATGGCCGTATAACTCACCTGCACAAACCGCATAAGTGTAACTTTCACGCCGTTTTTTTTAAACAAATCTGTAAAATTAAAAAAAAAAAAAAAAAAAAAAAAAATTTTATATGAATACGAGCTAAACGCGCTTCGAACGCGCTCGATGCACGTCCTCGGGTAATTCTGTCGTATTGTGGTAGTGAATGGAGAGTACGCCCGTCTCGACGCATATGCGTGACACGGTGAGCTTGTTTCAGCCCCGGCGTTCGGGTCGGCGGATGCTTCTTTGTTGTCTGGCTGCTGTGTGCTGCTTGTGGTGCTGCTGCTGCTGCGCTTCCGAGCCGTCTGGACGTCGTGGTGGCCGCCAGTTGGCGCCCCCGAGTGCCGGTCGCCGCTGCGCCCGCGCATCGCGTCCAGATGCGTCGCAACCCCAGCACGTTTTGG